CCCGAGACTTGCACTCCTGTTCATCATTTCCTCTCTTTAGATGTCCCTACAGAGTTGAGGACATCACTGAAGAATGAAAAAACAGTGCCTTCTGGGTTTCTCACAACCCATTTTCATGAATCAAAGGAAAATGGCACTGATAAGGAGAGGCAGGTTGTATTAGAATTATTTGAGTCCTTAGCTGGGTTTCCTTACTCTCTAATTCAGTCCCTTCCTTTGTGTCTGCCTATCCGTCTGTGAAGAGGGGATAATTACACCTGTTCCTTAGAGGGATGTTACAGAGATTTGTTTTAGAAGTCTGTAAAGCTTTGTGAGCATAGAGAAGTATAATTACGAGAAAAATATATTGTCATTGCAGTTGTCCTGGCAAGTCTTTATTCCAGTCATTAATATGTCGATGAATATGCATTATTCATTTTCATTACATAGAAGTTGGCCCTTCATGCTCCATTTTTCCTGATGCATGTATGTCTAAGAGAAGGGCATTGGGAGAATGGATAGTCAGCCATAAATGTGGGTTTTAAAAGATCCATTTTCTTTTCACTCACTCGTGTTCAGGCTTTGAGCTAAAGGAGATGAGTTAAACAAATGGCATGAAGAAAGTGGCAATCCTGAATGCCACTGTGCAGAAAGCAGATTCTAATATATTTCTAGCTTATGATCAAAAGGAATCACTTGAATCAGAAAAGATTCCTTCAGGTCAGAAATGTTTATTCTGGAAAAAAACATCCTGTGTAAATCTTGGCAAATCACCTGAACCATTTTAATTGATAAGTTTCCCTAAAGATTTGAAAGAAAAAGTCAATGGACAGAATCCCTGTAGTGGCAGTTGTTGATTATGCCAGAGGCAAGGCTATCACAGATATATAGGAAACGCTAGTTTCTTCCCAAACATCATTTAACCTATTATTAAATTTCCATTGTCTTTTAAGGAGGAAAGCAACAGCTGTTTCCTGAAAATTGTTAAAATTGCAGTAACAATGCTAAAATTGCATCAACAATGTGGTCAACTGAGGAAAAGTGCAAACAAATCCATGTTAACTCAGAAACCCAGAATGGAATGATTGCTCTTTTCCTCTATCCCACAGCACTCATCCCTCACCTCTCATTATGCAGATCCACAACAAATGTTGGCCAAATGCCTGCTATGTGGTGGAATGGCAGTTCTCAAGTGTGGTTCCTCAGACCAGCAACCACAGCATCATCTGAGATCTCTCATTAGAAATGCAAATCAGAAACTCTGGCTGTGGAGCCCAGGGATCCTTATTTTAGCAATCGCTGCAGGAGATGCCCATTCACATTAGAGGCGCCTCTTAGAGCTGGGATTTCACAGGGTAACAATGAGGTAGATCGGACGGTGCATCAAATGGGCAGTGCGTCCTATGGGCGGTGCAAGTAGTGGCTGATCACCAGGGGCAGAGCCCATCCCTTGCACTCCTTACAGGGTGTTCCTCTGTCTGAGCCAGCTCAGAACTTGTATTTTGGGAGGGAAATTATTCTCTTGGATTCCAGTCTCATTCCAAGTAAAAAGCTCACATGGGAGCCATTCCAACTTGTGGTTAATACTGCGTACGATGAAAAACAAAACTTTTCTCTACTGCTCTCATAACATCACTTACAGAGATGGAGGAGGGGCCCATGATGGAGAAAAAACAGACTCAAAGGCCTGAAAAGGACTTAATCCTTACCATTACTATCTCTTGTCTCTGTTATTCCCTACCATAACTCTTCTCCCCTTCTCCTCTTAACTTCCCCATGTCTAGCGTGCTCTCCAGTGAACACCGGGAGAGGTGAAAAAGTGACGGGGAGAAATGTTAGAGAAGGCGAGAGAGAGGATGCGCAGGCCAGTCCCCTGCCTGCCCATTAACCTGGGGTTCTCATTCTAAGGGGCCAGTTGCACATTGCTAACCGTAGTGATCCAGTATCCAACGCCACTTCCTTCTCCCTCTCCTCAGACAAAAAGCAGTTTCTGGAAATAGAACTTGTCTTTCGCTTGAACAGGATGTGACTATGATGTATGTTCCAGTTTCAGCTCTTGGTGACCCGACTCTCAGTAGGAAGTGCCATCCCCACCCCAGGCTTTGGTGGAGAGTGGTGGGCAGTGTGGCCAAATTCCTGAGGCCCATAGAGCACTTCTGTCCTTACACAGTCTTAGCAGTCAGATTCAGGGGAACGATCATACTTGGAATCAATATTCCCTGCAAGAAACCTTCCCTTAGGAAGCCTTTGATCTTTGCAACATCAAAGAGAGACTGGGAGAGAGCAGATTTGACTTTACACCTATGGTTTAAAATTAATATGTAAATATATGAGACAGAAAGAGGAAACTTAGATCCAGCTGTCTGAGGCAGCTGGGTCTTTATCTATGTTTTTTTAATGAGATGATTATTTACAGAATACACTGCAGACTTCTGAAGGACAGCAGGGTTGGCTTCCATATCATCAGTACACAGGGAGTTAGGATTTTTTTTTAACAGCAAAAGAAGTTTCGAAGAAGGCATTTTTTAATTTTCTTTTTCCTTTCAATCTTTTTTTTTTTTTAGATGAAGACATTTTAAAGAAAAAATTAGCAACATTGCTTGAATTTTAGAAGGGATTAACTACCCCTAAAGGATTCTCAGGCATTTATCCAGTAGCATGCGGTAAACCTACTGTTTGCTTTTTGAGTGGGGATTAGGGAGTATAAGTGAACTGTTTTTTAAAACTCCCTAATATTCCTTAACCTTCTATTCCATTTTCCTGATTGGCTTTGTAGGATGTGTCTTACCTGGCTATACAGGTATCTTTCACTGTTAAAATTATTGTGTTTCCTTGGTTACTCAGTTCAATTCCATTCAGTTGCTCAGTCACGTCCGACTCTTTGTGACCCTACGGACTGCAGCACGCCGGGCCTCCCTGTCCATCACCAGCTCCCAGAGTTTACTCAAACTCATCTCCATTGAGTCGGTGATGCCATCCAACCATCTCTTCCTCTGTCGTCCCCGTCTCCTCCTGCCTTCAATCTCTCCCAGCATCGGGGTCTTTTCAAATGAGTCAGCTCTCCACATCAGGTGGCCGGAGTATTGGAGTTTCATATGCATGTATCCCCTCTTTTTTGGATTTCCTTCCCATTTAGGTCACCACTGAGCCCTAGTAGCACTATAGCCTGTGCTATACCTACAGGCTCTCAGACAGAGTGAAGGAAGTCAGAAAGACAAATACCGTTTGTATGAGGAATCTAGAAAATGATACTTATGAACTTATTTGCAAAGCAGAAATAGAGACACAGATGTAGAGAATAAACATGTGCTTTTTTAAAAATACTTGAAATTCTTCACCCTCTTGAGACTCAGCTGAGCGTTTGACCAACCTGGTGTAGATATGAGGCTTTTTCTTAAGCAGCGAGTTTTGATACTATTGGGCTTCCCTGGTGGCTCAGAGGTTAAAGCGTTTGCCTGCAATGCAGAGACCCAGGTTCGATCCTTGGGTTGGGAAGATTCCCCCGGAGAAGGAAATGGCAACCCACTCCAGTATTCTTGCCTGGAGAATCCCATGGACAGAGGAGCCTGGTGGGCTACAGTCCACCAGGTCCAAAGAGTCGGACACGACTGAGCGACTTCACTTTCACTTTCACTTTCACTTTTGATACTATCAGAGAACACCCCGACTGGGAACTGTACTATCTGCTCCCAAGGGTAGACACAGATTAGACGGGCGTTTGGAAAGTTGGAGTCCGTGAAGAGAAGGTGGCTCATTACAGGCTTCAGGCCGCCATTAGTCCCAGGCATTCCCTGGTGTTCAGTTCCCCGCGGGATGAAGAAATACCTCTTTCGCGTTGGCTTGTATTTCTCTCTCTAGTCTCTCTTCCAGTGAAGGCCCAGAGACCCGCCTTCGCTATAATGACATAGATACAGATCGTCTTTTTAAAGAAAAATTCTGCAGTGCGAGGAGGTATAATCTCAAAATTTGGAAAAGGTTTGGACTTTTGTGAATGAAGATGGTTTAAGTTACATATTTCAAACAACTAAATGGACATATGGGGGAACATTCATGGACTCTTCAATAAACGTTTTTTTGTTTTTTTTTTTTAATTACCTGCAGATCTCACTTCTCCCACCTACTAAATTATTTTCGGTAAATAAGAGGGATTTTAAAGAGGACTAATGCCTTGTCATTTTAGTGATTAACTGCTGGGATCCTCTTTTGAATGCACTGGGCTTGTTTCTGTTTTTCTGAAGTAATCTGTATTATTAGCATGCACCCAGAGAAAGGATCACAGGCTTCCTTTTTTTTTTTTTTTTGGCACAGTAAAATCTTTTTCAAAAAAATTTTCTATGATATGGATTTTGTCTGTCAAGTCATGTTCCCTTTGTATATTATGATTCATGGTAAGAAAAAAAAAGCCATCACCAAAATTTAAAAAGAAGCTACTTAATGAAGATCTTCAAGCAGTTAATGAGTCAGTGTGTATTCATAGAACTTTGATCAGTGCTTTCAGGGACTATTTTGTACTGAGCACAAAGACACTAAAGAGATAGGCCACTGGGAGGAAACTGGAGGGAGGGAAAAGGCTACCACGGAGCTCTGGAATCAGGAAATTCCCAGCCCTAATTACCAAAGCCTAGTGGAGGGGACAGTAGCAAGAATAAAAACAAAAACAAACCCAGAACCACAAACAGGTAAAAATTCTTTCATTTTAGATCACTTACGGCATATTTTCACTGTGGAATCTTGTCCAAGAAAAAAGGTTCGTCTGATTCAACAGCTGAAGGACAGCCTGTCATGTCCCTTCCCCCTATAGCTGACACTCACTGGAATCCACTGAATCGGAGCTTCACATCGTACGGCAAGAATATTTCATTTTCATCAAATTTGTTTTCCCAGGAACATTCAAAAGAGCACACTAAACCACCGCTTTTCGAGATGGTGATTTATTTATGTAGTTTTTATTTATTCAAGACCCTGGACTGGCTGAAGCAGTCCCTGCAGGAGTTGCCCCTCCGTAGGCGGTGACAATAGGCTTCTGTGGCGGGAATTGAAGCTTCAGTAAAGGCAGCTTTCAGGGAGACAGGAGCTTGGCTCTGCTGCCAAGATTTTAATGAATTGCTTCAGATATTCTCTCTCGTGGTTTCCACTGTGCTTAGAAATCTGAAGGAAAAAAACAATCTACGTACAGAACACATGGCAGTTGGACACTAAAAATCTGCTGCACACACAAATATCTGTTACACATTTCTTTTTAAATGGGTCAGTGTTGTTAATGAAATTCAATGTGTGCATTTTTAGTGAAAATGTTTTTGTAATATATATTTATTCTTTTTATGTCTTTATTATATTTATGCCGTCAGTCTCCCTATGAAATAAAGTCATCTGATTGCTCTGAAAAAAATGTTTAATTTTAGGAATTTTTTTTTCCCCCTGAGAATAGGTAATGGAAGATTCCTATTAAGGAAAAAAAGATAGTCATGTAAGAGGTGAGAAATTTTTCATCATACTTCTCCTTTTATTTGACTATGGTTTCTTTTCAGCTAGTTTTGGAGAATTCACTTCATAGAGCACAAGAACTACTAAGTTTAGTAATTTTCTTTGCATTTCTGTCAATGCAATCTAATTAGAAATCTTCACATCCTCTGATAATTCACTGTTTTAAATCAAATCCATTCATGTCACTATTTAAAGTTTGCTCTTAAGACAATAGATGGTATTTACTTCTATAGAAAATATGAGACTTTTGAAACACCAATCATTCTGATAAAATTTATGCTTTTTAAAATATTTTTCATCTTCAAAACAATCACAAACTTACAGAAAAGTTGGGAGTATCACCAAAATAATTTTTTTTTTCCTGAACCATTTGAGAGTAATTGCTGATCTGATGGGCTTCCCAGGTGCAAAGTGGTAAAGAATCCACCTGCAATGGAGACATAGGAGACATGGTTTCCATCCCTGCATCGGGAAGATCACTTGGAAGAGGAAATGGGAACCCACTCAAGTATTCTTGTCTGAAAAATCCCATGGACAGAGGAGCCTGATGGGCTACAGTCCAAGAGGTTGCAAAAAGCTGGACACTACTGATCGACTAAGCATGCACAAATGCTGATCTGATGTCTCATTATTTCCAAATACTTTAGTATGTATCTTCTACAAACAAGAATATTCTCCTACATAACTACAGTACAACAATCAAAATGAGAAAATTAATTTTGAAACATCACTACTGCCTAATTCTCAGACCTGTTCAAGTTTCTTCAGTTGACCCAGTAATGAACTTTATTTTTTTTCAATTGAATTATAGTTGATTTACAATGTTGTATTTGTTTCAGGTGTACAGCAGAGTGATTCAGTTATAATTTCATATATATGTGTATATATATATGTTATTTTTCAGATTCTTTTCCATCATAACTTCTTATAAGATATTGATTATAGTTCCCTATGTCATTCAGTTGGTCCTTGCTATTTATATATCGTACACATAGTGCTGTGGGTCTGTTAATCCCAAACTCCTAATTTATCCCTCCCCTCTTCCCTTTTGGTAATCATAAGTTTGTTTTCTGTGAGTCTATTTCTGTTTCATAGATAAATTCATTTGTATCACTTTTTTTTAGATTCTACATAAAAGCGATATCATATGATATTTGTCTTCCTACCTCTGACTTCAGTTATTATGATAATCTCTAAGTCCATGCATGTTGCTGCAAATGGCATTATTTGACTCTTTTTTTTTTTTTTGTATATTTGTACCACATCTTCTTTATCCATTCATATGTCCATGCACACTTAGGTTGCTTCCATATCTTGGCTATTATAAATAGTGCTGCTATAAACATTGGGGTGCATGTATCTTTTCAGATTTTCTGAGTATATGCCCAGGAATGGGATTGCTGGATCATACGATCTCTATTTTTAGTTTCGTTTTTTTTTTTTGTGGAAGCTTCAGACTGCTTGCACCAACGTACATTACCACCAACAGTGTAGGAGTGTTCGCTTTCCTTCACATCCTCTCTAGCATTTAGACCCAATAATGAGTTTTATAAGCGAAGTATCCAGGTTACAGTCTTGTGCATATCTGTCATGTTTCTTCAGCCACCTGCTGTCTGGAACAGTTCCTCAGTTTTCCGGTGTTCTTCATGACTTTGATGCTTTCAAAGATAACAGTCCAGTTATTTTGTAGAACGTTCTTCTATTGAGTTTGTCTGATGTTTTCTCATGATTAAAGTTATAATTTTTGGAAATGATTTTATCCTATAATTTCTGTTTGTATTATTACCGATATTGTTTACTTTGGTCCCTTGATTTCAGTGATATGAGGCTTAACAAGTATTTTGTGGAGTGGTACTCGGAAACTGGCTAGATATCCTGCTCTGCATCAAACTTTATTTATGTGTATTATGGTGTGTGTGTGTATATTCCTGCTTTATTTGATTTGTTGCATTAATTAAACAGGGAGGCCATTAGACTGCAGTGAATCTAATGCTGTGGCAGCCTATGTAAGCAAACCAGAATCTAAGCCCATATATCCCTCAAGATTATGAAATCAAAACCTAAGGTTACCAGTCACAAAGAGCCAACCAGGTTGAAGCTGGAGCCAATCAATAATTTCCTTATGTTGTTCCCTAGTGGAGTGCTCTTCAGTTCAGTTCAGTCGCTCACTCGTGTCCGACTCTTTGCGACCCCATGAATCGCAGCACGCCAGGCCTCCCTGTCCATCACCAACTCCCGGACTTTACTCAAACTTATGTCCATCGAGTTGGTGATGCCATCCAGCCATCTCATCCTCTGTCGTCCCCTTCTCCTCCTGCCCCCCAACCCCTCCCAGCATCAAGGTCTTTTCCAATGAGTCAACTCCTCGCATGAGGTGGCCAAAATACTGGAGTTTCAGCTTCAGCATCAGTCCTTCCAATGAACACCCAGGACTGATCTCCTTAAGGATGGACTGGTTGGATCTCCTTGCAGTCCAAGGGACTCTCAAGAGTCTTCTCCAACACCACAGTTCAAAAGCATCAATTTTTCGGAACTCAGCTTTCTTCACAGTCCAACTCTCACATCCATACATGACCACTGGAAAAACCATAGCCTTGACTAGATGGACCTTTGTTGGCAAAGTAATGTCTCTGCTTTTTAATATGCTGTCTAGGTTGGTCATAACTTTCTTTCCAAGGAGTAAGCGTCTTTTAATTTCTTGGCTGCAATCACCATCTGCAGTGATTTTGGATCCCCCCAAAATAAAGTCTGCCACTGTTTCCACTGTTTCCCCGTCTATTTGCCATGAAGTGATGGGACGAGATGCCATGATCTTTGCTTTCTGAATGTTGAGCTTTAAGCCAACTTTTTCACTCTCCTCTTTCACTTTCATTAAGAGGTTATTTAGTTCCTCTTCACTTCCTGCCATAAGGGTGGTGTCATCTGCATATGTGAGGTTATTGATATTTCTCCCAGCAATCTTGATTCCAGCTTGTGCTTCTTCCAGTCCAGCATTTCTCATGATGTACTCTGCATATAAGTTAAATATTCAGGGTGACAATATATAGCCTTGATGTACTCCTTTTCCTATTTGGAACCAGTCTGTTGTTCCATGTCCAGTTCTAACCGTTGCTTCCTGACCTGCATACAGGTTTCTCAAGAGACTGGTCAGGTGGTCTAGTATTCCCATCTCTTTCAGAATTTTCCACAGTTTAATGTGATCCACACAGTCAAAGGCTTTGGCATAGTCAATAAAGCAGAAATAGATGTTTTTCTGGAACTCTCTTGCTTTTTCAATGATGCAGCGGATGTTGGCAATTTGATCTCTGGTTCCTCTGCCTTTTCTAGAACCAGCTTGAACATCTGGAAGTTCACGGTTCACATATTGCTGAAGCCTGGCTTGGAGAATTTTGAGCTTTACTAATGTGTGAGGTGAGTGCAATTGTGCGGTAGTTTGTGCCTTCTTTGGCGTTGCCTTTCTTTGGGATTGGAATGGAAACACCTTTTTACAGTCCGGTGGCCACTGCTGAGTTTTCCAAATTTGTTGGTATATTGTGTGCAGCACTTTCACATCATCATCTTTCAGGGTTTGAAATAGCTCAACTTGAATTCCATCACCTCCACTAGCTTTGTTCATAGTGATGCTTTCTAAGGCCCACTTGACTTCACATTCCAGGATGTCTGGAGTGCTCTTAACCAGTTTCAATTTGGTGTTGCCCAATTCAAATGAAATTTTGTGCAAATAAACTCTTAAATTTTTAATATGCCTTTTATCTTTTAACAGTTTACAGTCCTTTATTATATTATTTCGATGTTCAAATTGTCCCAGGTGTAGCCAGTGGGAATCTCCTTCACACTGGCTCCTATGTCCTGACATGTTGCCATCATTCTTGGAGCACATTCTTGCTTTCTGGCACTAAGAGATGTTTCCAGCTCATCTTCTTTCTCGTACCAGACATGTACCCTGGCACTGGAAGTGTTGTTGCTCCCAGGCTTTCAATGGATGGAACTAGTGTATGTGTATATGTATATCTAACACATACACACATTTATGTCACATCTACATTTCTATCTATCATCACCATCATCTCTCTAAAGAAAATTGTAAGTTTACGCTAATACTTGCAAGTCCTGTCCAATACTACAGAGTTTACTTAAGCCTTTTTCTCTTTTCTGGTGACACCCCTGCCTGCCAATGAGGAACATGACTTATATCATTCTTAATATATTTACTTATCTGATACAATTCCCATGGTAAGTAGCCAGTCTCCCATCTCGGCTGCCATACCCACCCCTGTGCAGATGCCCTCCTGAAGCCACCTGAAAGCTGATATCCCATACTGAGCAACCACCCACACCTACCTGCCCAGTTCATCTTGATTGGATTCTGACACCTCATGCTAGGTGACACCTCCCACCCCACCATGAACACCCTCTTCATCCTGCTTGGGCCCCGAAATATAAATTTTGGCCAACATCCTGCCCTCAACTCTAGCTATGTGAATGCTTTACCCCACCTGATGGTTAGAGGATGGAATTGTTTGAGATCAGAAGAGGAAAGGGCTTTGAATAAGGAGAGAAAAGGAGGAAGAAGAAGGGAGGGGGAACACACATCTTTGTTTAAATAAATCACAAGTAAGCAGATTAAGTTTCTGTTAAAATGATACAGTTGAAATAAAAGAAAACTCTAAGAAGCCCCTTAGAAATGGTGCTTTCTGACTGAGGTAGAGTATAACAACATTTCTCCCCTTGATCGTTACAAGTAATACCAAAGTCCAGATATTAGAGATGGCAAACCAACTTTCACATGATTGTATACTTCTAAGATGATCTTTTAGTATTTTATACATACCACTGTTCTTCCTATTTGAGAAATAGTAATTCCACACAGATGATATTTACTCATCAGCTGAACTTTAAAAAGGAATTGGGGAAGCATTCTTGCTGTCAGAAGTATTTAGCACCGTTCTGATGATTTCACCCCAGTTCTTCCCTATGCCCTGATTAAATCAGGTATAATTCCTTTAGAATGGGTTCTAACTGTTGTCTAGTCCATCTTGTTAAATGTTAGCCCTCTATATTCCTTCTAATCATAGGGCTATGATTGTCCAGAGCATTTCCTTACAAGATCTATGTCAGTCTTTTCAACAAACTGCAGGGAAAGTACTCTCACACTAACACTGTAAATGATAAGCAAGCAGATTTAAACAGCTATTCTATCAATCACTGCTGTGAAACAGTGTCAGCTCTCTAAGAAAACCTGTACAAACATATACGATATCCCTAAGCATACAGCCATCTCCACAATACACAGGACAAATATTTACACATAATATCAGGAAGATGTTCCTGAAAGCTTGAACAATAATTTTATTACCAAATTCAGAGTGAAGATAATTTTTTTAAAATTTAAACTAGCTTTTAAAATTAAAAAAATTCATGTGTGGTTAAGGTTTTAGAAAAACTTTAATTATATTTCCCAGAGTTAACTATTGTTAATGTTTGAGACAATCTTTAGAATTCCATTTGTAAATGATAAGAAATAGGACTATGTCTTTTGTCTCTTTTTAAATACAGGAAATAGGATTACTGTTTTAGATGAAGAAGTGTGTTGGATGTCAGTGTGCTCCACTTTCACGTTTAGGACAGAATTTTAACATGACTGCAAAAACATCCTATTATAACAGAATTTGGAATTGATTTAGGTACATACAAATTATCCACCTTGAACATCTTGTACATTTTTAAGGATTCCCTAGAAAAGCTACATCTTTGTTCATTTCCTGTTGTGTAGATCTCTATATGAACACAAAGAAGGAAATCCCTTTATTTCTTTCAGGATCACTGTGTTGTGATATGCACAGAGTAGGTATACCTTGCAAGGAATCTTGTAATTCTGAACCACTTGTCTCCTGTTTCTTGGAGTGAGCTCTCTACTTCTGCACCAAATCCACACACACTTGGAACTCAACAACTCAGTCACAAAGAAAGAGAGGAAACAACTCTTATTTAAAGCATATAGTAGCTAGAACACTGCTTCTCAAACTTTAACAGGCATGTGAATCATTCAGGATCTTGTTAACATGCACAGTCTGAGCCACTCTTTACCTCTTTTCTTGCCGGTGTTTGCATCTCTCCTGTGTGGCTTCCTGGTGGCTCAGAGGGTAAAACCTCTGCCTGCAATGCAGGAGACCTTGGTTCAATCCCTGGGTCGGGAAGATCCCCTGGAGAAGGTAATGGCAATCCACTCCAGTGTTCTTGCCTGGAGAATCCCATGGACAGAGAAGCCTGGTAGGCTACAGTCCATGGGGTTGCAGAGTCGGACATGACTGTGTGACTTCACTTTCGACTTTCACTTTGTGAAGTGTTAGCACTTTACTCTTTGTCCATGCTCTGCTTTCTAAAAGTCCTGGGCAAAGATCCTTTTCTGTTTCCTAAAATTTCCTCCCTTCAGTTTCTGATTTCTGCAATTTGCTGCTAGAACTTGTGGCCCGTGGTCTGGTTCTAATTTATGGAATCAGTACTTACCCCATTTTAGACTTCTCTCGGGACCGAGATTTTTAGTTCTGCGATGTCACCACAGCTAACGCATCCACGCCTTTTCCTTCCAGCCCTCTCTGTGGCGAAAGTAAGGTAGCGGTACACAAATGGAAAGATCCTTGCATGGGGTAGCAGGACTTCACTATTCAAAGTGCCAGCTGTGGACCACCAGCATCAGCATCACCTCTGAACTTGTTAAACTGGAGACCCCAGCCTGCTGAGTCAGAATCTACAGTTTCACAAGATCTCAGGTGATTTGTATGCTCATTAAATTTAGAGAATCTCCACTTGGGGTGATTTTAGCAGAAATAACTAAGAATTCAGTCCAAACTGGCTTACATAATAAAGGAGATGCATTGGCTCTTATAATTAAAAACTCTGCTGAGTGAGTTTTAAGTGTGATCTGATCCAGAGGTTCTTAAGTTATCAGGGCTCTGAAACTAATGTTTTGCTTATCTGGGTTTTTTTCCTCCAAGCCTACTCACCTTTTTTATTTTATTTTTTTAAAATATAAATTTATTTATTTTAACCCAGAGGGATCGGGTGGAGAGGGAGGTGGGAGGGGGGATCGGGGTGGGGAACACATGTAAATCCATGGCTGATTCATGTCAATGTATGACAAAAACCACTACGATATTGTAAAGTAATTAGCCTCCAACTAATAAAAATAAATGGGAAAAAAAAAGAATTCTGTATAAAAGAAAAAATAAAAGAAAACAAACAAAAAATATATAAACTTATTTATTTTAATTTGAGGCTAGTTACTTTACAATATTGGTTTTGCCATACATTGACATGAATCCGCCACGGGTGTACATGTGTTCCCCATCCTGAACCCCCTCCCTCCTCCTCCCCATCCCATCCCTCTGGGTCTCCCCAGTGCACCAGCCCCGAGCTCCCTGCATCATGCAACAAACCTGGACTGGCAATTCATTTCACATATGATAATATACATGTTTCAATGCCATTCTCCCAAACCATCCCACCCTTGCCTTCTCCCACAGAGTCCAAAAGACTGTTCTGTACATCTGTGTCTCTTTTGCTGTCTCACATACAGGGTTATCATTACCATCTTTCTAAATTCCATATATATGGGTTAGTATACTGTATTGGTATTTTTCTTTCTGGCTTACTTCACTCTGTATAATAGGCTCCAGTTTCATCCACCTCATTAGAACTGATTCAAATGTATTCTTTTTAATGGCTGAGTAATATTTCATTGTGTATATGTACCACAGCTTTCTTATCCATTCGTCTGCTGATGGACATCTAGGTTGCTTCCATGTCCTGGTTGTTATAAACAGTGCTGCAATGAACATTGGGGTACACGTGTCTCTTTCAATTCTGGTTTCCTCAGTGTGTATGCCCAGCACTGGGATTGCTGGGTCACATGGCAGTTCTATTTCCAGTTTTTTAAGGAATCTCCACACTATTCTCCATAGTGGCTGTACTAGTTTGCATTCCCACCAACAGTGTAAGAAGGTTCCCTTTTCTCCATACCCTCTCCAGCATTTATTGCTTGTAGACTTTTGGATAGCAGCCATCCTGACTGCTGTGAAATGGTACCTCATTGTGGCTTTGCTTTGCATTTCTCTAATAAGGAGTGATGTTGATTGGGTAAGCCTTAATATTATTTTATGTTAACAAGAACAATACAAAAATATAGGACAATGTGTCCTAATGTGTTCAAAACCTATTATGAGTGTAGGATTCTTTGGTGGAAGTTATGAAATTGCAAAATGATAGGCCTTTAAAATTGAGAGCCTTGGCCTCAAGTAAAATAAAAGTCTGATTCAATTTTGTTTAAACAATAGGGAAATTTGTTATCTCTAATATCAAGAAGGCCGAGGTAGGGCTGGCATCAAGAATGAGAGGCCAAGGCCCTCTTTCTCTGCAGTTCTCTGGGCTCTACCCAGTTCTATCTGTTGACTCCGTCTTCAGACTAGTAGCAGGACTGGTGAAGTTCCAGGAATCATATCCAGGCCTTGAAATAGATACAGGCTTTTATAGATTTCTCATGACTCTTTTTTTTCTTTTTTTTTTAGGAATAGAGAAATCTTTCCCAGAAGTATCATATTAGAGGTTTCCTTACAACCCATTGTCCAGAATTGGGTTTCATGCCATGACAGAGACCTCTAGTTGCTTCTAAATATCTGTTCTCCCCATTTCCTTTAGTAATATTATCCTGATTTTTATCAGAGCTTATGACTAGTCATTTAATTTTAAATTAAATTCCTTGTAAATTATTTCCATGTACATGTAAATAAAAATGTTATGTAGAACTTGTGGGAATTATTTCTTAAAAGGAAGGCAGCATCCCCTTTTATCTTTTGTTCTGATTTCTATAATGCAGACATGATGGCTGAAACTTTCACATTCACCTTGGACCATGACGACAAAGACATACTCAAAAAACTGGAAGAAGCCGGGTCCCTGATGATTTCAGAGACCTGCCCTTAAGGAGCATTGGACTACCTACCTCCAGATAGGTGAGAAAGTAAGACCTGTGCCTTTAATTCACTGTTAATTTGGGTTCACAGTGGCTTCTGGTGAATCTAATCCTGACTAGTACACATGCCCATTCCCAGTCAGTCACGGGCAAGAGGAGCTGTCGCCACCTTACTGGGGGCAAGTGGGTGGGGGAGGGGGCGTAATGCTTACCACAGTAAACACTGCTTAAAATATATTAGGTACTTCTGCTGGAAACAGATTACTACAGGAAAGCAGCATTCTCAATATCTACATAAGAAGCCACCTTATTGGAAGTACTTTATCATCTTAGTTACAAAACTTAGATTATCATTTCCTAGAAAGTTCAGAAGAATCTTCAGTTCAGTCCAGTCTCTAAATTGTGTCCGACTCTTTGCGACTCCTGGATTATAGCACTCCAAGCTTCCCAGAGCTTGTTCAAACTCATGTTTGTTGAGTGGGTGATGCCATCCAACCCTCTCATCCTCTGTCATCCCTTTCTCCTCCTGCCTTCAATCTTTTCCAGCATCAGGGTCTTTTCTAATGAGTTGATTTATCTCGTCAGGTGGCCAAAGTATCGAATGGAGCTTCAGCATCAGTGCTTCCAATGAATATTCTGGGTTGATTTCTTTAGGATTGACTAGTTTGATCTCCTTGCAGTCCAACGGACTCTCAGGAGTCTTCTCCAGCAACACAGTTCGAAAGCATCTATTCTTTGGTGCTCAGCCTTCTTTATGGTCCACTCTCACATCTATACACAACTACTGGAAAAACCATAGCTTTGACTATATGGACCTTTGTTGGCAAAGTAATATCTCTGCTTTTTAATAGGCTGTCTAGGTTTGTCATCGTTTTTCTTCCAAGGAGTTCAGTTCTGTTCAGTTCAGTCGCTCAGTCATGTCCAATTCTTTGCAACCCCATGAACTGCAGCATACCAGGCCTCCCTGTCCATCACCAACTCCTGGAGTCCACCCAAACCCATGTCCATTGAGTTGGTGATGCCATCCAACCATCTCATCCTCTGTCGTCCCCTTTTTCTCCTGCCCTCAATCTTTCCCAGCATCAGGGTCTTTTCCAATGAGTCAGCTCTTCACATGAGGTGGCCAAAGTACTGAAGTTTCAGCTTTAGCATCAGTCCTTCCAATGAACACCCAGGACTGATCTCCTTTAGGAGGGACTGGTTGGATCTCCTTGCAGTCCAAGGAACTCTCAAGAGTCTTCTCCAGCACCACAGTTCAAAAGCATCAATTCTTCGGCACTCAGCTTTCTTTCTAGTCCAACTCTCACATCCATACATGACCACTGGAAGAACCATAGCCTTGACTAGATGGACCATTGTTGACAAAGTAATTAGGCATCTTTTAATTTCATGTCTGCAATCACCATCTGCAGTGATTTTGGAGCCCAAGAAAATCAAGTCTGTCACTGTTTCCATTGTTTCCCCATCTATTTGCCATGAAGTGATGGGACTGGATGCATGATCTTAGTTTCTGAATGTTGAGTTGTAAGCCCACTTTTTCACTCTCCTCTTTCATCCTCATCAAGAGAATCTTTTGTTCCTCTTTGCTTGCTGCCATTAGGGTGGTATTATCTGCATATCTGAGATTGTTGACATTTCTCCCAGCATCTTGATTCCAGCTTGTGATTCATCCAGCTTGGCATTTTGCATGATGTACTTCGCATACAAGTTCAACAAGCAGGGTCACAATATACAGCCTTGATGTACTCTTTTCCAATTTGGAACGAGTCTGTTGGGTTCTAACTGTTGAGGAAGAGGATCCTTACTTATGCATTGCTTAGATTCTAATGGGTTTTCTGACAACCTCTATTAATTTTCATGAAAAAATTATCAGCTGTGCTTTCAAAGGATTAGCCTCCAAACTATAAGGTTTGGATTTTAGTTGATTCACTTCTACTTAATTTCAACCACTTGAGCTTACAAATAAAAATGTTCTTTTAGCACATTTATTGCTCCAATGAGTGCCAGTTTCAAACCTAGTATCTATAGTCCTTTCCTTAAAATCCTTGCAATTTTAGAATTTTTGGTTAGATTTGTTAAAGAGGCCATTTTCTAACTTCTTCAAAATCAACATGTATAGTTTCCCACTTTTAGAAGTTCTTTCTTGGTTAGGAGAGTGTGTGTGAAACTTTTAATTTTAACATCTCTATTAGATAAACTAGTTTCATTTAGAAATTAATCACTCATCCCACATTTCCAATTCCTTTAGTTTTCTTCAACTCTAAAACTCAAGATGAAACTACAAAGAACCTAGGCTATTTTGAGGAAGTTATGTGGTTCAAATTCTGTGATTTCTCACTGTGGTCCCAGAATTCAACTCCAGTTAGGGTGTGGTATTTGTATAACTAGGAATCCTCAGGCTGAATGGTAATTTGAATCTTCTAAGTCACTAGACATAATCAACACAAACACCGGTTGCCGTAGACCTGTGTTCTGATCCCAACCTTGTGGTTAACTATTAGCTTTGCTTCTTGAGACCAGACACTAATTTCACCTTTTTAAGGCTGTGTCCTCATCTATAAAATAAAGGTCTTGATTATAAGATCTTTAAATCTCCAACTCTGTCCTGTGCTCTGGTATTAAGAAAGATGATGGTTAATCCTTAAAACCCCCCAAAAGCAGAATATCCTTACTCTATCCAAAAGACAGTTCCAGTACCTAATGATTCTGAGGCAGCTTTATTTTCTTTTTTTTTTTTTGAGGTAATATTTAAAGTGTGCAATGTGAGGTTTAATGTAAATATAAATTATGAAGTGATTACCACAGTCAAGTTACCACATGCATCAAAGAAGCAGCTTTTTAACTAAAGAAGATAGGACATTATCCAGTTCTGCCTTCTCTAGAGCTGAAGGATAATCCATCATCATTCTTTTTCTATTTACCTTCCACAAATTGTAAACCAGTAAGTCACCTTTCAGAGCTTTTCTGGTGGTTCAGTGGTAGAGAATCCCCCTGTCAATGCAGGGTTCCATCCCTGTGTCTGGAAGATTCCCTGGAGGAGAGCATGGCAACCCACTCCAATATTCTTGATTGGAGAATCCCATGGACTGCAGAGCCTGGTAGGCTAGAGTCCAAGGGTTCACGAAAGAGTCGGACCCAACTTAGTGACTAAACAATTACAAAAGCCTCACCATTCACTAGTCTTTTCCTTAGTGAATTATCTCCGAAGCTCAGCTATTTGTATGCTGTTTTTATGATGTTGGCTGTATCTTTCTGGTATCTTTGTTATTATTTCTCAGCTTCTCTATGTTCTTTTTTTTTTAATTTTATTTTTTGGTTTTCAGTGATCTCACTTTTATGCACTCCCAATATGATCAGCCTGAGTAAGCATTTCTGTTAAGAGTTTCATGCACTTTACAGGTAGGATGATTTTCTTATGAATATGGTGGTGAGAGTGGAGAACTACCTGAAATCAACCACTACCTCAACTGGAGAAACAGGTCTGTATGGGAAAATCAAGAGTTTCTTTTATCTTTATTTACAGAGGAAGTTTTCAGATCTTAGCAAGCCTAAAAAATCACCTTAAAAAAAAGTGAAGCCGTTAGTTCAGTCGTGTCCAGCTCTTTGCAACCTAAGACCCTGGTTAAAATGCACATTTTCTGTGCCTTGCCCAGGTCTAGACTAGAGCCCAGAAGTCCACATTGTAAAACAGCTTCCCAGATGACTGCAATGCAGGTATTTTCAGACCTTCACTTTGAGAAACGTGACACAGAGCTCCTTAGTCTGTTACTGCGTTTACTCATTCTTCAGTAACAGATGAGCAACTTCTGGGTGCTGCTGCAGAGAAGTATGCCAAGAGGCAAGATTCAGTTCATGTCTCCATGTGGTATTTGATTGTCAAATGAGGTGTACTAGCAACACTTCTCTAGAGGATCAGGGTTAGGAAGGTCACTAGGGGCTGAAGCTGGGAGAAGACTTTGTGGATCCAGCTTGGAGGGCTCTGGTGATTTTTTTTTTTTTTTGAGAGGGAAGATGGAATCAGAGGGTTTCTGGAGTCAGGCCAACCTGGAACTGAAGGTCTAGGTGAAAAGGCTGGAAGGGTCAGGTAAAGCATAGGCACTTGTTCCTGGGGTCAGCTTTCCTCCAGGTCTTTACATAGGGACATGAAGACAGCTTTGAGGGAGAGTAATAACTTGGCATTCATGTTCAGGATGGACTGGATCTGCAGTGCCAACGGTACAGCAAGCAGTAGTGACAGAACACTCTCAGTTGGAAAGAAACCTGAGTGGCAAGATTAAAAACAAACAAACAAACAAACAAAAAACAATACTGGACTTGTTTGTACTTGTATGGGGGTGAGATGGTGTCCAAAGTGACAGGTGACCCTGGAGGAAGGAGAGCACTTTTCAAAGACAAATTGCGAAGGGAGCCTTAATTCAGCTTCGTTGAAGCCAGTGTAGGGAACAATCTGGTAAACAGGCAGAGGACCTGTTTGTGTTGAGCCAGCTGACCCTTTCCAGTGTCTCCGCATCTCTCTTAAAATAGAATCATCTTCTTCACACACTCCTCGCTGCCACTGACTACCTAAATAATACTAATAAAACACCGTCACCCTGAAATTGGGTCGAACAAGCCCAAGTCGCCACCTGCTTTGGCCCTGGCGATGAACTTGAAACTTCTCAGGTGAACCAGCTAGTATTACCTCTCTTTAGCCAACTGGTTTCTGAACTTTGTTGCACAGTGGACTCACCTGGTTATTAAAAGAGACAAAAACAAACAAAAAACCCAACGCCTAGTGCCCACATGTAACGTGCAGCATAATTTGGAAACCATCGGTTCACCCCCATCTCCACAGCTTTTTTTTTTTTAATTGGAGGCTAATTACATTACAATATTGTAGTGGTTTTTACCATACATTGTCATCCACAGCTCTTAAAAGACCAAATCCTCCTTCTCTGCCTTCCGCCTGGAGAGTGCCAGCGGCGGGTTTGGGGCCGCGTGGGGTCTGGTCCCCGCGCCGCAGTCTCCCTTCCCCCCAGCCGGGTGTGCACAGCTCGAGGCTCGCGTGCGCGGCGCGGGCCGGGAGGAGGCGGTGCTGGGGCCGCTCGGGTCCGGGAGGCGGCGGAACCGAAAGCGGCAGCGGAGGGGGGTTGGGGGGGACTGGGGAGGGCAGAGAAGGAGGGGCGGGAGACCGGCGCGGTGGTGCGCGGAGGGCCGGGAATGCCCGCGGCGCGGGGCCCCAGAGCCGCTCCGTGGCCGCGTCCAGGCGATGGCTCTCCGACTGATCGCCGACTTCGATCTCCGAAAGGACGTGCTCCCGTGGCTGCGGGCGCAGCTGGCGGCGTCAGCGGCCGCCGGGGCCGGAGGCGTGGGGGGCCGTGGGGGGAGTGGAGGCGGGACAGTCGTTCATATCTAGGGATTCTCGGGCTGCGCCCAAGTGGTGAGCACCGACCCAAAGCGGCAGCCTGTGCCCCCTGCCAGCCTGTGAAGTTTGGTCCTGAAAGGGGAAGCTTGCCCTCTTGAGAGTCTGAGCTTTGCCATCCTCACCCCGGGCCGCTGGGTGAAGGTTGAAGGGGCAGCCCCCGGGCAAAGTCTCGGCCGAGCCTCACTGCTTCTTCTGGCGAGTCTGCCATCTTCTGGCTTACTGATTGCCCACAGTAAGTCACCTTAAGCAGAAAGGCAGGGGACACTAGTGGTACCCTAAGCATCATCTCATCAGGCAGGAGGAACAGCTGCCCAGGCTCCGCTCCCCTGGCGCAAGGCTGCGGGGCGTGGGAGAGGGTGGCTCCCTGTGCTTCACTCACATCTCACCTGTTTTAAAAAGGTTTGTCACCCGGGTAGGGGCTCTAGCAAGACTAGGGACTGGAAGGTCTCACTTTATGAGAAAGAAAAGATGCTCAGGTGTCCTGCCCTATTTTCTTAGGGTGGATTGGAATACATTCACCGCAGTTGAGGCTTTGGTTTTCATGTGTCTCAGAAATCCTTTGATTTTGAGGGAGTGAAAAGTGACTTTTGAGCCTTCCCAGCATTGATCAACTGAAACTTTAAAGAAGGGGAACTCCGTGATTTCTCAGGTTGTTTTGTAAGAAGAGAAGTTTGCTTCACATAATGTTGCATCTTCAGGGCTTAGATTCAGGTTCTAAGCAATGACACCCTGGAATCCCATTTGTGCACAGGAGCTAGCCACTTCAGTGTATTCCCCCCACTTCTGGTTTCCTTAAGCACTGTAGACTGCTGGAAGGCATTTTTGGGAAACGGCTATCAAATTACCAGTATCTACAACTCCTTTCCCCTCATCACTGGAGAAAGTTTTCTGTCGTGTGGTTTTAGCAGAATATTTGTAGGGTTCCTTGTTTTGGCATGTTGGCTCTCTTGGTTCCAAATACAGAGTCATCTTTGTCTAGCTCAAGACTCAAGTTTGACTAGTGAGTTTGACTAATGACTAGTGTCATTATTAGTAAAGGCTCACTTTGGTGGGGTGGGGGTGGTGGTGCTGCATTTTAAAAAGTCTCCTGGATGTCTAAAGAGTTTCTGAAGGTTTTTTCAACACAAAGTGGTCCTTTCTTTGGCCTGGGTACTCAGTCATGTCCAACTCTTTGTGACTTAGTGAACTATAGCCTGCCAGGCTCCTCTGTCCATGGAATTTTTCAGGCAAGATGGAGCTGGTTGCCATTTCCTACTCCAAGGGATCTTCCCAACCCAGGGGTCGAACCTGTGTCTCTTGAGTCTCCTGCATTGGCAGGCAGATTCTTTACCACCATGTCACCTGGGAAGCCCCCTTTCTCTGGACCATCTCCTTATATAGCTAAGTGGCAGGTGCTCAAGAATGAGAAGTTAGATGAAGTGTGAAATGCCACAGTCTTATGTTTCAGTAGTGTGTTGTGATTGAAAAGCTGTGTGTGAGCCTGTTAGGTTTTGGCTTCCTTGTGTCTTTAATTCGTCTGTGAAGACACATAGACTTGTGCATTGACATTCCACCAAACAGCAGATACCCTTGGGTCCTCAGAAAGTAAACTTACAAGAAATACCAGCCTTTTCTCATATTGGTAGTATTTTGCTCCTACAGAGCAGCTTGGAAGAAATATTAGCCCTGTTATACTAAAAGACATTGTTACTTCTGATAATCACTAGTGGTGGCAGCTTAAAAGCCCCCACAAGTTAATTCTTCTTCTGCTGTAATTTGTAGCACTGGCAGGGGAATCTGGAATTCTATTTTATCTCTAGCATAGCTCTGACTCCACACATTTGTGCAAATTATTTTCCTTTCAAAGTCTCGGCTTTTCAAATGTAAATTATGAATAATTATACCATTGTAAAGTCTCCTCTCTGCACACTTGCTATCTAAATTTGAAGCCTTAATGTTTTTACATCAATAAATACAGTTGAAGATTTCTTAGTGGTGCTAAGTAGTACTCCTGATGTATGACATGTTTCTGGCAAAATAGCCAGAGAGCTAGGCTAAGTTAGCCAGGCAGAAATTCAGTGGGATAGCATTTTAGTCAATACGGAGTTAAGAAATAAGGAGACCAGATTTGGTTACTGCCTCTGTTCCTGGTTCTGGGTTGAACTTTGGGGAAATTATTTCTCCTGAAATAAATGAAGAAAATATTTGTTCTTTAAAAAAATTAAGACAGTTATACAAAAGAATATTTTAACACATGTAAGCTATAAATAATATAAAAGCAAAACCATGTACCTATCTTAAAAGTAGAACAATAGCAAGACTTTTGTTGGTTCTTGGGTCTCCCTATTTGATCCTATTTCTTTTTATATTTCCCATCTATATGTTGTTGTCTACAACCATTTAAACTTTTATATTTTCACATTCCTTCAATCTTATTTGTAGTTTTAACCTGTATCTCCCTAAGCAAATATCATTTCATTTTCTTGTTTGTGAACTTTAAGTGAAAGAATATCATATGAATTCTGCTTTTTTTTCCTTCTCAGTATTGTAAGATTTATCCATGGTGACTGGTGTGTGATGTGTGATGAATTGCTTCAGTCATGTTTGACTCTTTGCGATACCATGGACTATAGCCTGCCAGGCTCCTCTGTCCATGGGATTCTCCAGGCAAGAATACTAGAGTGGCTTGCCATGCCCTCCTCCAGGGGATCTTCCCAACCCAGGGATCGAAACTGGATCTCTTATATCTTGTGCATTGGCAAGCGGGTTCTTTACCACTAGCACCATGTTGACTGCCATAGGGCATTACTTTTCACTGCTGTATAGTATTCCATTTGTGTGACTATACAATATGGTAAACATGGAGATGCAATGCTTAGATCTTTGTTTCAAGGAAGGGCTTGTCCTAGGTGCTGTGAATGTGGTATCAGAGCCCTCAGCTGCCAGCATCTTCAGGGATGGCCTCGGCAGAGGGCTGTATCACCAAAGTTTATGCCCCTTTAGGTATGCCCTCCTCTAATAAGGGGTTCAGGTAGGATATAAAAGCCTGGGCATTTTTACTCACATGGGACAATTGTGGCGATTCATTTCAATTCT